CATGGAGATCTTCCTGCCTCAGCCTCCCAAGTGCTCTTGTCATCATCGTGTGGGTGCTCAGGGCCTGGCACATGGACTCTACCACCGAGCCACACCCCCAGCCTGGACAATTTCACACTGTTAGTAAAATGCAAGACACAAGCTCCTTTTTCTTGGTCTTTTTTTTTCCTTTCTAGGTGAATGTCTATTGGTAACTTATGACCTCCTTTTCGACAGTCTTTCCCAGTGAAGGATTTGTTTTCCTGGCTGAGCTCTTGACTTAGGAATTATTTGAAAGCATGTGATAGCAAAAAAGTGAATTAGAAGATACCCTGGGGAAAGACCCAACAGCAACCCGAAAGATACTTGGGGCCCTAGCTGGGCATGGAGACTGACACAGGAGGATCACTGCGAGTTCGAAGCCAGCCTGGGCTACAAAGTGAGCTCACGGCCAGCCTGAGTTGCATTGCAAGATCCTGTCTCAAAAAGACCAAAAAAAAAAAGAAAAAAAGAAAGAAAACCATATTTGGGGCCCTATTTATTGAAATTAAATGCACATTCTTCTACTTCCAGTAAGATTTCTGTACATCAGTGAAATGAATATGTAGAACCGTTGCTCATTGTAAACAGGCCTACAGATCAATAGGAGAGTCAAAGAAACTACACGTATGCCCAGTGGGGTGATGTGGGGATTTGTCTGCTGGTGCTGAGGACTGAGCCCAAGGCTTCCTCATCTGAGCTACGCCCACAAAGCCGCTGTTCGTTTTTAATGAGGTGGATCTATGTGTAGTGAATGAGACCCTCTCACAGAGCAACTGATGCATATAAAAAGCAAAAAGTTGTGTCTAGTATGTTTCTAGTTTTATAAAAATAATAGAAAACACACACACACAAAAAAAGAGTGCCTACCAAGAGCTAGCAGGAAAAAATATCTCAGGACCTACACTGCCGCTGGGAGCTCTGGACAGCTCTGGGAGGAACAGTAAACTGACAGCATTGATTGCTCCTGGGAAGGGACCTACATTACTAGGGTTCAGGTGGGAGACAGACTTTTTTTTTTCACTCTTGTACCTTTTTTTTTGGTCTTTTTTTTTT